TAGCACTACTGGACTCGGGTGCAACTTCTTGCTTCATGGACACAGACTTTGCAGCCTGATATCATGTCCCTCTTTCTCCTACCATACGGGACTTGAGGGTTGAAGGCATCGGCAGGCATTTTGTGCCATCTTTTGGACTTAGGGAAACGTTGCTCGTTCGAGTACACATCAGGTCCACCGTCACCGATATCGCCTTCAACATCATCAATAGCAAGTCCTCTTTTGTGGTGCTCGGCCTTCCTTGGTTCCAACTACACCAACCTCAGATCTGTTGGAAGGAATTACAACTCATCTCTCCCACGTCACCATCTCCCACGGCTTCCTTTGTTGTTCATCAGGTCCAAATCAGGAAAAGTTCCTTAAACTCAAATCGAGGTTCTATTCCTGACACTACAAAGTTTTCACCCTCTTCTTTTCCCTCTCTTCCATCTTACACTGGACAGTATCCTCGTCTCATCATTCCATTCAGTCGTACACTTCCTCCTATCTCCACAATCACTATGAAAGAACTTCTTCATGAAGAACCTATTTTCCTTTTTGCTTTGCATGTTTCTCTTGTTAGTCTTCCTGAGAAGTATCATAATTTTGGGGATGTGTTTGACAAGAAAAAAGCTAGTGTACTGCCTGCTCATCGGCCTTACGATTGTCCCATTGATTTACAGAAAGGAGCGTCACCTCCATGGGGGCCTATCTACGGGTTATCCCCGTCCAAGCTTAAGGCCCTCAAAGAGTATGTGGACGAGAACCTTGCTTCGGGGTATAGTCAGCATTCGCAGTCCCCAGTTGGAGCGCCTGTCTTCTTTGTCAAGAAGAAGGATGGGAGTTTGCAGCTAATCATCGACTACCAAGATTTGAACAAGGTGACTGTGTGGAACCGTTATCTGCTGCCCCTGATCTCGGATCTGTTGGAACACCTCAGCGGTGCCCGCTTCTTCACCAAGATTGAGCTCCGTGGAGCATACAACCTGATCTAGAACTCCCGTCTTGATCCATGCTGATCCCTCACAACCTTTCTTCATCGAGGCAGATGCCTCCGACTTTGCCATCGGTGCTATGTTGTCTCAACTCGAAGCGGATCAAGAATTTCATCTGGTCGCTTTCCATTCTCGGAAATTCCAGCCTGCAGAGATCAATTACGAAATCCACAACAAGGAGCTCCTTGCCATCATGGACTACTTTGGAGAGTGGTGAAGTTTCTTGGAGGGGGCAAGCCATCAAACAACGGTTTGGACAGATCACAAAAATCTCGAGTACTTTGCCACTTCCCGAGTTTTGACCCGTCATCAGGTAAAGTGGGCACAATTCATGAGTCGGTTTGACTTTGTTATCAGGTACAAACCTGGAAAGCTTCAAGGCCTTCCTGATGCTCTTTCAAGGTGCTTCTATTTCAATCTCAGGTCTAGTAATCCTGCCTTCGATCAACAGGATCAGGTTATCCTTGGTTCTGATCAGCTTTAAGTTATGGCAATTTCCCTAGCCCCTCAAGACTCCTACTTGATGGATGCGATCAAAAACAATCTTCAATCCAATGACCTCGCCAATGACATTTTCCCCCATCTTCAGGCTGGACACCTAATGAGTCTCGACTGCCGCCGATTTGAGGAGTTTGAGTTCTTAGATGGCTTGTTGTACCGTGAGGAGCAACTTTATATTCATGAAGGTGATGCTCGAAGGTTGGTCCTGATGGTGTGCCATGATAGCCTGACTACTGGTCACTTCGGCATTGCAAAAACCTATGAGCTAGTTGCACGGGACTTTTGGTTGCCTCACATGGACGACTACATCCCTTCATGTTTGCTTCATTCCTTCCCGGTCCCTTCAAGTCCTTGGGAATCCATCTCCATGGATTTCTTGAGTGATTTTTTGAGTTCTGGAGGCTTCAACAATATTTTAGTTGTGGTGGATCACTTTATAAAGATGGCACACTTCTTGCCATGTACCAAGGAGTTTTTGGGCAAGGACATGGCAAAATTGGTATTCAGAGAAATTTTCCGACTTCATGGGATTCTTGCAGATGTGGTTTGGGATTGGGGACCTCAGTTCATCTCTCATTTCTGGCAACGATTCTTGCAACTGCTTGGAGTGAAGGCCAACCTCTCTTCGGCGTATCATCCTCAAATTAATGGACAGTCTGAGCAAATGATTCAGACGTTGGAACAATTCCTGAGATGCTTCATCAACTATCATCAGGATGACTGGTTTGATATCCTTCCCCTTGCTGAGTTCTCCTATAACAACTTTGATCACTCCTCCCTTCGAGTTTTCCCCTTCTTTGCAAACTCTGGCCGAAATCTCTAATTCAATATCTCACTTCCTTCTCCATCCAAATCCTCTTGTTCAAATCCCCACTATGAGGCATTTGTCTCCAACCTCTAGAAAATCAACAACTCCATCTCCTTCCACCTCCATCATGCTTGGGAAGTGCAATGTGATAAGTGATAGGATTAATGATGGCAGTGATAGGGAAAGGACCGAGGCATTTGAAATCGAGTTTGGAACATGGCCTGGTGGTGGAGATATTTTGCCTGAGGAGCCAGACTTTATCCCTGATATTGTAGGGGGGACAATCCTGATGATGGACATTGGCAAATATTTTGTGAGATTCCTTCCTCATATCAAATTCACCCCATTTTTCACTCCTCTCTCCTTAAGCCTTTTTTTCCCAGTCATGTTCCAAATTGGGTCATTCCTCCGCCTCCACCAGTGAAACTCGAGGATGGGTTTGAGTACAAGGTTCAGGACATCCTTGATTCCAAGATCTCAGGGTCTAAACTCTACTATCTGGAAGACTAGAAGGGTTACGGACCTAAGGAACGCACTTGGGAACTTGCAAACAACCTGATTCATTCTCCTGACCTTGTTCAGAACTTCCACCATTGCTATCCTTCTCGTCCCAGTCCTCATTCTTTTCATTCTCCATCTCCCATCCCTCGCTGCCCATCTCATCCTCCTCTTCGTTCTCATTCACGTCCTCGTTCCACTCGTTCTTGAGGAGGGGGTGCTGTCAGGAATCCCCCAATTCTTGCCACATTCCTGACTCTCGCCAGATTCCTAACCCGCAGACCATATCCCTGACTCTCGAGACACTTTGCTATTCCTGACACTCGAGACACTTCCCTATTCCTGACTCTCGAGACACTTTGAGACACTTCACGGAGTCTGGCACAATTTTGGCATACCGGTGGCCTAATGCGAGGAGGAGGGTACCCCACCAACTAGAGCAGCATAAAGCTTGGGCTTAGACCCAAACTGGATGTAGAACAAGGAGTGACACAACCCAGGGGGAGCCAAACTAATGTCTTAGGTGGTCGGATATGCAATCCAACCATTATCCCTATTATACATTTGGAACCCCCACAGCCCCCCCCCGCCCCCCCCCTCCTGAGGAACACACGCTTTGGGCTTTCACCCCAAACTTCCCTTAGTATTAGGAGTTAGACAATTTCTACATTTTGTAGATATGCCAAATAAGTAAATCTAGACACTTTCCATAAATAGCATTTGGGACCAAAATAAGACCAACACAAAGGGCATGTTAGCGAGGGTGTTTGGCAAGCATGGTAAGCTATCATCTAGCGATATTGAGAGATCAGTCTCAATATGCGAGGGTTCTTGTCACTAGCCAATGCAAGACAAAACGAGATGGGAACTCTTTATTAGGCTAAGTATGTTTAGCTAATAGCATGTAATTCTGTCCTTATGCTCGTTTAGTCTAAGTACACTCGAAATGCCCAGTTAACTCCACTAGCACAAGAGGGGCTATTAAAGGGATCCAACTGTATCGATCTCCTGCCGTCATGGCAGTAAGGAAAGAGTGTCTGTAAGGACTAGCCAACAAGTATCTTTCAATACTCGAAGTCACATTTGCGACACTCGAGACACTTTCCTATTCTTGACTCTCTGATTTCCCATACGATTCCTGAGTTTCGAACCACATTCTTGATGATGACATGGCACCTCCTCGACCTCAGCTATATTTAGGCCATCCTTGATCCAAGAGTGGTGGAGCTTCATCAACCTATAGTATATATAGGTTAGCCTTGTTCCATTTCTCCACATGGCAGTCTAAGGCCTCTTCCTCGTTTCCACTAGCTTTTCTCTTTGTCTTTTGCATTTTCCAATCTTGATTTTGTCAGGGGTCTTGACAAGCTCGAGATCATCTACATACACAACTAAGTCCACCTTATCCCGTGCATATGCGAATGTACAGCCATACACACATATGTGTGTGTATATGTCCAGGGCATATATCCATGCATATATCCACACATATGTCTAGGAAAAGCTATAAGAAAGTGACATGAGGACAAGACATGGAAGTTCCAGATGAAAGCATGTATGGTATTTTAGAGTTGTTGAATTGTGTGTATGCTGCTAGAATATTTACTCCTGAAGCTGTAATATCGGGCTGAACGAACAAAAAATCTTCAAAAACAACCGGGAGAAAACATTGACAAACCTTTAGTATGTCTGGATCAATGATGTTGGGACCAGAGGATGAAAAAGGTGCCATGTAAGGAGCACACTTTTGATTTCTCAATGTTATCTGATGCTGTATATCCGCTACAGGAAAGCTGCCAGGCACAAAGATAAAAAAACGAAAAGCAGAAAATAACAGTTTTACCTTGTAGATTTGATATATGAGAAGATGGCTTGTCCAACTCTTTGAAAGAAGAAACTCATTTTCTGGATTTTGATCAAATTCAAGAGTGGAGTTGCAAAAGATAATCCCAGCTCCACCAGCTTGAGAACCTTCGAATGATTGGAATGCTAGATGCATTGGCCCTCTCAAGCATGCCACGATCTTGCCCTGGACTTTCTCGGGATCCAAAGACCGACCCATACACAATTGGCTGCAGCATTAATAGTTTTTTAACTCAAACTAGAGAGTAATAATTTTACCTGGCTGAAAAGTTGGAAGTTGGCAAGCCAACGTTCTTTGCTTAGTCAAAGAAACCAAGATAGTTAAATTTAAATAGTTCTTTATAAGTAATGAGAAATACTCGAAATGATTTATTGTTGCCAAGATAAAGGTCTCCAAAATAGGTTTGATCAATAGTGCTCGCTCCAACAGCGATAACCCAAGGGGCTACATTTTGCACCGAGCGAGGACCCAAATATCCAGCCGAAGACACCACCACAATGCCTTTCTGCATGTCATGGAACGCACCAATCGACAGTGGCTGCTGTCCATCGATCGACGCACAAAAGATATCCACGCCATTGTGGATTCCCATATCAAAGGCGCTGAGAGTATGAGAACCCCGGGCACCGCACTATGCTGTCCGTAATGTTTCTCCAGCACATCTTATAGATTGCGAGGCGTGGAGCGCCACCCTTTGCAGTACCTTTTGCGTGGCCAAGCCAGTTGTGTTTTTTACGAATCGGTGCCCTTCAACATCTCTTGGAGAAAGAAGTTCTTGGTGTGCTTTTGCATAAGCCTTGGGACCATCTTGGAGGCCGTGGGAAAAGAATCTGGCACCGATAAGTTTCCTGAAAGACAAATGTTTAGCATACTATGTGATTCTTGAATTACTTGTTGCAGTGAGAAGTGTTGAATTTCTCCCAAGTTCCTTTCCGCTCCTTTTTTTATCACGTTGGGTTTTTCCAGGACTATGGCCAGAGTCGGAAAGCTTTTCCGATCATGGTATGGGACCAATCCCCAAAAGATAGTTCAAAGAGGGAAATACCTGAATCTAAAACACCAATGATAACGTCTTTGCAATATTTTGCTTCCTTCCATAGCCACGATGATTCAGTAGCTTCCAAAGAAAGAGTTCTTTCCAATAGAGGCCGAGAAACTCCCATGAGTTTGTGGTATGGACCGTGTGGATTTCATTGGGAAAAACGGACAACACGTTGGGGAGGCCTGCAATTGTGGATAAAATTTTAAAACTTCTAAGAGAGTTTACCAGAGATTCTAGCAGCTTGTTCTTCTGTTAGTCGAGCCGAGAAGCCACTGAATCCATGCCTGTAGCTAAACCCCAGTGATTCTCTAGCAGCTTTGACACTGGCACACACGAATTTGGATGAATTCATACTCTTTTCAACTTTACCTTCCTAAAACGCCTTGAAGGAGTGCATGATGGGAGCTAGTAACAGCATCTGGATTTACCTTCCGAAAACGCCTTGAAGGAGTGCATGATGGGAGCTGTAACAGCATTTAGATGTAGCGATTTATCCACATTCCCCAAATAGACAATGTGGGTGTCTCGTCCCTGGAAATAAATTCAAACACAGGCTTACATAAGAAAAAGTAATTAAACCTGAGAGATGGATGGACATGACACTTAAACTTAGAAGAAAGTATAGAATAACTGAGAGAGCCATGAACTAATGAGATTTTTGATAGAAGATGTGATTATTTATATTGGAGACGATGAACGTTTCCAATGCTTGTGACGTGCACAATTTTTTATTCTAATGAAATACGACTAATTGTTAAGTATGGATTGGACCCGAGGATGAAGAAGATGCCATGAGAGCATATCATTGAGACTGCTGTATGTCCGTTACATGGGAGCTGCAGCATTGATAGATCCTAAAACTTAACGACTCACCTTGTTAGAGTCTAGATGCTTGAGACTGAAGGAAGAACTTTAAGTTGTGGTGATTGCATGCTTAAGGTGGGGTTCGGCCAGGAACTTCTTTGGAGTAATGGACCCTCCCAGAACACGCAACAAAGAACAACTGGATTTGAATTATATTTCTCTAGCAAAGTTTTAGAGGTTACCAGAAATTCTAGCAGCTTGCTGAGAAGCCACAAAACCCATGGCTGTAGCTAAATCCCAGAGATTCTCTTGCTGGAAATTAATCAAAACCAAGCTAAATCAAAAGTGGAATGTTAAACGCTAAGCCATTGGCAGCAGGCGATCTGGCGACCTGAAAATTACATTTGTATCTCATCGTCAACGCCGTTTGCCTCTCTTAAAAGTCACAATTACAAATTAATTACACTCCGTACGGCTCCCGCCTTCGTCTCCTCTCAACTGCAGGCAAGCCTCTCGTCCAGGACCTTTGCATCCATTTCGTCACTCCCCAATACCAAGGCGATCATCCAAGGCATCCTGGAGACGAAAAGGAGAGGTAGGAGACGCGGACTCGCTGCTGTGCCACGAATTCATGCTGGACGTGAACGATCCAAACGTTGCTTCATAGCCATGGAGCACGATCACCAGGGGTTGATCATGGCATTGCAAGATGGATCAAGAGGAGATCGACAGCGAAGTGGTTTTCCGCTCCGTCAACCTGGACGTGGAGGTGAGGAGAAAATGGCCGAGCTTTTGCTGTTATTGGGTCCCGTTCTTGCGCATGGAAGCAACGCTGTTCTTGGGATCGAAGTCGTCAGTGAGCTGAGCCAGCAGGGATTGAACAGATGCGAGTTGGAATTCCACCTGTGGGCGAAGTCATCCAAGCGCCCGATTCTACTATCGGTTTCTATTCATAGGACAATGTCGTACGATCGCGTCGAAAACATGCCCGGCTATATATAGTCGCTTCTTTTAACCTAGGTTGCTGTTTAAGGTGAGGAGCTGACTACGGTTATTGCACATGTAAAAAGAACTTTCAGCTGGCATCTGGCAGACCCAAGCAAGAGTCTGCCATTCTCTGTGACGCCCTGCGAGTTCGATGCCGATACATTTAGGCACAGCAATCCTTAGTTTGTGACGATTGCCACTGGGCGATTGGATTTATCTCCAGGATCGACCAGCGGGCGATAGTTTTCAGGGACATGAGCCGCTTCCATTCTTACAAAGATGGAGCGTGCTCTTGCAACGATCACTGGTAGAAGTCGAGCGCTAACGTTAACGCGCCAGTTTTTAAATTTGAAACTAAGCATAGTTTTTATGCTTCCAACGGATCTAGGGCTGAGCCAGATCACTACTTTCAGTGCATTATTAGAGGGACAAGAAAGCAAACGAGAAGAAATCGATCTGTCTCCAGTAAGTGACGATGATCCTTTTTCTTTCATTCTTTTTTGCTGATGCCTGTGTTTGGTTTCAGTGGTGTTTCCCCGACAAAAAAGGTAGCAGCTATCTCTAGAGATGTTTTGCAAGAGAAGAGCGAGAAGATGGACGTCTCTCCAAAGCAAAACTTTGAGAAACGAGATGGCGATTCCTCTCAGTGGAACGAGCAGTTGAAGTGGCTGACAGAAAATTACCGCCCTTTCAGCACAGTGAGAAGAAGCTACCGTGGACTCCTCATGCAAGCACTGGAAATAGTGGCGATCCCACTCCGAACTGGCTACTCGACAACAAGTATGTATCACCAGGTGATAGCTTCTGGGACGAGGCAATACGCGTCCTTGGGAGCAAGAAAAGTGACTGCTTGGAAGTGAAGTCGCGTATCAACCCTGACGGCCCGAAGTTATTGAACTCTCCACTACTGGTCGTGTGCTTCGACTTTGCGAGTCATGACAACGTTGGCAAAGAAGTTGCTGCAGCTCCCACTGAAGGAAAGGCAATCGTGAGCGATCCGTCGTCCTCAGTCTCCGGTGAGAAGTTGTCCGATTGGCTTCTGGCTGAATTACTTTCGGAAAGGGGTTAGAAGACTGTATCAATGGCAGGTAAGCTAACTGTTTGTGATTTTAGTGTCTACTTACAAGAAACTACAGGTTGATTGTTTACGCCTTGATGGAGTTTTGGATGGTAAAAGTCTTGTTTACTGTGCCTCGACAAGGTGCTTGATTTCTTATTTAGTTTTCTTTTATGGTAATCCTTAAAACTTTTGACAGTCCAGGAAAGAGCAGAATTTTGATGTTAAAAAGAGTGCTGGCGACGGAAAATGGCAATGCTGGTCTTACCATATGTTGCGTTGTGTTCTGAGAAGGTATGCTTGGTTTTGTTTTGTCAAAACGTCAACTGGTTTTTACTTTGCTAGACAGAGCATTTAGAGGCGGTACTGGAACATAACTCACTCATCAATAAGCTGGTAGAGGACGGGCGGCTGTCCGAACTAGCAGTCGTAGTTATAGATGAGCTTCATATGGTATGTATACTGACATCCCATATCTTTCTTATAACAGTCTAGTGCAGGTTAGGGATAAAGAGAGAGGTTGTTTGCTAGAACTAAGCTACGATATGCGGCCGGTAAAGGTGGCTATGAAAGCAGCGGCCCGACGGCCCCACGAGCTTGCAAATTATAAGAATAAGTGCAATGGCTTCAGGTATTGCAATCTTTTTCAAGTCTTACAGACCATGATGATAATTTGCAGGCTGCATTTTATGAGACTAACTTTCGCCCGGTCCTTTAGACGAACACATTAAAGTCATTTACGATGTTAGTATGAATACCGTTTGTGCTCTAAAAGTAGGCTCTGAACTTATCAGCAAGGATCCAGATCACATCGTCCATCTGTGCCATGGGGTTACTTTTGTCTTTTGACAAAGACCTTTCATAGGTCTTACTGATTTCAGTTGTTGTCTAGGTGCTTAGTAAGGCCATCCTGTGCTTTTGTTTTGTTCAAGTCGTCATGCCTGCGAAACCACTGCCTGTCATGTTGCAAAATATTTGCCAAAGTTTTCAGTGTCTTCTCAAGCGAATGCAGCAACCTACAGAGATGGATCCGAAGCAGCTGAAGCATTGCGTAAGTGCCCCGCGGGTTTGGACCCCGTTCTGGGGGATACCCTGCCGGTTGGTGTCGCCTACCAACACGCGGGTTTCACGATAATTTTGTCTGAAGTTTTCACTCTATGTTCTGCTTTGATCTTACAGGCCGAGGAAAGAGAAGTTGTAGAAACTTGCTACAGACAAGGAATCGTTCGTGTATTTAACGGCGACCTCGACAAATCTTCCAGCTCGAAGAGTAATCTTTCGGACTCCCAAAATTGGGCGGGACTTTTTGGATGGGACGAGATACAGGCAAATGGCTGGGAGAGCAGGAAGAGCAGGGATAGACACGCATGGCGAGAGTGTAAGACTTCTCCCGTTTATGTATTCTGAAATTTGCCGAATGTTGGTTTTGAAGATATTAATCTGTAAAAGTGAGGAGCTTCCCATTCTGAAAGAAGGTTGTCAACCATTGCAGTCATGTCTCCCCGAGGAAAAGAATGGAATGATGAGAGCTCTTTTGGAGGTGGGCACAGGATGTCAACCGCTATGTGCGATGCACATTTCTCAACTCTATACAACCTTTTGATGACGTCGTGAAGTCTGCTCAAGATTCTTTGCTGTGCCGACTGATAGTGTGGGATCAGGAGTTACAGATCTACCAAATGACTCCATTAGGAAAAGCAGCGTTTGGCAGTTCACTCAGCCTGGAAGAATGCTTGGTACGTCCTCTCTCGTTTTTGCTGGCAATGACGAATTTTAATTATCCGGATGCAGGTTGTCTTTGAGGATCTTGCTAAAGCCCGTGAAAGTTTTGTTTTAGCTTCAGATTTGAGGTTACTCCTATTCACATGGAGCTTGAACCGGACTGGGGAGTTTACTATCAAAGATTTGTCGAATTGTCCTATGTCGATCTTATAGACGAAAGCTAGAAATAGACATTGTAATGCTTTCGCATTTTACAGGCAGTTGCTAGAGTTGGGGTGACCGAGGCATCCCTGATGCGCATGTCTCATGGAGCACCAATGCAGGGCCATAAAAGGAGTATAAAAGGTAGTGAGAAGGCTAGCGAGGCGGATCAAAACTTGCGTGTGTACAAACGCTTTTTTGTGGCTCTTATATTGTCCAAGATTGTTCATCGACCTTTGTTCCTTAATACTGAAGTTTCGGCACTAGGAAGTGCCGCTAATGGACGCTTGCAGTACGTTCAAGGTGCCGAGGGGCACCGTGCAAGCTCTTTGATTGTTTTACCTTTGTTTTATGTTTTCACAGGCTGCACGAGCTAGATGTTTATACAAAGCAGGCTTACGAACAGTTGAAGCTGTAGCTGAGGCTACAATTCCTGAACTTGCAAACGCGCTGTGCGATTCTTCATTCAAAGAACATGCAGGTTGGCTTCTCTTATATACCGAATGCTTTTACTCGCAAGCTTTTTGT